CAACCTGCCTTGCTTCTGCAGCTCCTCTTCAGGAGCTGTGATGTCGCTTGTGTGGACAAAAACCACGAGTCTAGCTGGGCAGGAAGTATCTGGTGTGTGTCATGGGTCAGATAAATTAATTGGTTTACTCCAGAGACAAAGATGACTAGTAGGATTAGGTAGATAGCATAGCTCTTGATAGGCAAGCAGTAGAAAAATTAAGACTAAAGGTATCTAAGGTAGCAAGATTGCACCATTTTTAAAAGAATACATTGCAGTTCAGAATTAGAAGATTAGATATATTGACACGAAGAAATATTCAGCGTAGCCTTCCAGTTTGGCTTTTGCCTTATAATTGATTCATGCATATATAAAAGAGCAGACAGAATGATAAATGAATATGTCTCCATTTAACAAATATCTTTGCAGAGTTCTTTCATAAGTAAGTTTTTTTCTTTTGGATTTTCTTCATTTTAGTTTCAGACGCTTTGTTTCCTCATTTAATTGTGAACATAGCCACAATAAGTGGGAATAATTTACCAAGCAGATCTTTGTTAGAGTGTTTAATTCTTTTCTGAGTAAACTGTTGACTCTCAGTAATGACAATTTTAGGATGAACCATATATGCAAGAAGCAATACTCACCACAGGTATGAAGGATATGAATATTTGTATCTATGATGTGCTGCTTCATGATCTAATATATTCAGAGTTGATATTTTACTACATTATAGCATTATGTTCACAGTGAGGTAACTTTAGTTCTTGTTAAAGTAAGTAAGACAGTCTGTTAAATAACGATAACGGCCACCATTTGGTGAGTGCACTCTGGATCATTTTAATTGTCACCACAGTTCTGTAAGCTAAACTGGAGAGGCATCTGCATTTTGTGGAGGTGAAAGTTTAGAGGTGTAGTAATTCTCCTCAGGTCACAGCAAGTAATGGCAGAGGTGGCGTATGAACTGACTTGAAAGTAGAGGTCTTGGGCCGGCCCCGTGGCTTAGCGGTTAAGTCCGCGCGCTCCACTACTGGCAGCCGGGGTTCGGATCCCGGGCGTGCACTGACGCCCCGCTTGTCCGGCCATGCTGAGGCCACGTCCCACATACAGCAACTAGAAGGATGTGCAGCTATGACACACAACTATCTACTACTGGGGCTTTGGGGGAAAAGAAAAGGAGGAGGATTGGCAATAGATGTTACCTCAGGGCCGGTCTTCCTCAGCAAAAAGGGGAGGATTGGCATGGATGTTAGCTCAGGGTTGACCTTCCTCGCACACACACACAAAAAAGGAAAGTAGAGGTCTTAATTCTCATTGTGTCTCAGAAGTTCCTGTGGCACCTAAATAACAGCAGAAACAACCAAAACAGATACCTACCTAGGCTTCTTCTCAGGCAACCAAGGTTTAGTTAATCTGCAGTAGAGCTTGGATTCTGACACGCTGCTAGCATTGAGAACTACATGCTTTGAAATTTGTGTTCTTTGCACACTACTATCTCTTGATTATTTGTAAGCAATATCTGTTCTTTAAAATTTAATTTTAAACTCTGTTATTATGAAGTAGTGATTTATTATGAATTTTTTCTCCAATCCATAGGGCTTTTTTAGTGTTAGGGCCCTTCAGGGCTGGCTGGAGCTACATAGGACCACCTTACCCGAAGGAAAAGGGAAAGAAATCAGTAGTAACTTTGAGAAAAAATCACTTCTCTGAGCCTCCGAATTATCATCTGTAAAATATGGATAATGACTACCTTTCAGAGTTACTGTGAGGATTAGGTACAATTGTGTATTTAAGACACAGTGCCTGGGCCGGCCCTGTGGCTTGGTGGTTAAGTGCGCGCGCTGCAATGCTGGTGGCCCGGGTTCGGATCCCGGGTGCGCATCGAGGCACCACTTCTCCGTCCATCCTGAGGCCGAGTCCCACGTACAGCAACTAGAAGGATGTGCAGCTATGACATACAACTATCTACTGGGGCTTTGGGGGGAAAAAATTAAATAAATAAAATATTAAAAAAAAAAAAAAAAAGACACAGTGCCTGTAACTTAGTAGATAGTGATTCTTATGATCATTTAAGAAAATATATTTACCATTTTAGCTAGAAAAAGTGACTATATTTATATCAATGTCATAAAAAGTACAGTTTTGTCTCGAATATAGTGCCATACATCGAGTAAGAATAAAACCTTTCTTTTCTTTTTTATAATTTTATTTATTTTTTTTCCCCCAAAGCCCCAGTAGATAGTTGTATGTCGTAGTTGCATATCCATTCTAGTTGCTGTACGTGGGACGCGGCCTCAGCATGGCCAGAGAAGCGGTGCGTCGGTGCGCGCCCGGGATCCGAACCCGGGACGCCAGCAGCGGAGCGCGAGCACTTAACCGCTAAGCCACGGGGCCGGCCCTGAATAAAACCTTTCTTGACCTCCATGTAACTGACTTTCTGGATTTATGGATAGTTTTCGTTCTCCATGAATAAAATGTTGATTGATGCCCACAGCATACTGAAGTTTCAAGACCAGTAGGTTATTTCCCAGGAGGCCCAAATTAGTAGAGAGAGCTGTTGGCTTATTATTTACTAACCAAAAATCAGTTTTGTGTATTCCCAAATCTGTTTATGCTTGTTATATTTGATATTATAATCAGGTACCTCATTTTAATAGTATATAAACTGATGAAGTATGAATGCAAATACAGAGGTTTTTTTTTTTTGTGAGATCAGCCCTGTGCTAACATCTGCCAATCCTCCTGTTTTTGCGAGGAAGACTGGCCCTGGGCTAACATCCGTGCGCATCTTCCTCCACTTTATATGGGACACCACCCCAGCGTGCCCTGACAAGCGGTGCGTCGGTGCGCGCCTGGGATCCAAACCCGGGCCGCCGGTAGCGGAGCGCGCGCACTTAACCGCTATATGATGGGCGGCTCCAGAGGCTTTTTTTTTATATGTAAAAATCTGAGATGAGTACTTTGGAGAGACTTCATGAAGGTCAGTCACTTAAAATTTCCTGTCTGGTGCTGTGTGGATAAGATAACAGTAGACGATTGGAAAAAGAACACTCTGTGTGAATGCTGTACTTGATCGCATTGGCGGTATCTTTAAAGTTCCATTTAAAAAATTAAACTGGAAATCTTATACCTGGGTAGTTATGGTTATGTTTTATTCAAGAAAAACGGCTGTGAACTATAATTAATAGATCCATACTTAAAATGTCTTTGGCTAATATCAAGAAAATAGCAAAATTATGTATGTTTGTGATAAAATAATATGTAAGGTAAGTAATGTTTTTATGATTCTTGACAATATCTTTTATTTTTTTGTTAACTTAGTTATCAATTCTGTTCTGGTAAGATAAGAGAAGTTTTACTCCATTCATGTAAAATGGGAATTACAGGATATGCTAATTGGTGCCAGCAAGAATAATTTAACTAGAAAGATTAGAATTAGACTCCTTTTACTAGATAAAAGCGCAAAGTCTATGCTGTCATCTGACAAAAGAAATGGGTGAACAGAAATGTAGATGTTTATTTGGCCTGAAAGGGTGTGATTTGGCTCTACTGAGTGCCAATCCTAGCAATTTGAAATCTAGCTTCCTGTGGTTGCCTTTGGGTAATTGATGTAGTAAAAATACGACTACTGCTGCTGCTAATAATAGTAATAATAATAATGATAATAAATTGCAGGTGTTTAAAAAGTAGAGTACTATGGGTGAAGCGTGCTCAATTAGTCTATTAATTTATAAAATAATAGAAGAGTTAATTGCTAGTAATAAAATGAAAAAAATCCATTGGAAATAAATATCACCTAGAAAGATTTCTAGAAATCAAAAGGAAAAAATTCATAGAAAATAGGAATTTAACCTCTGGTGCAATTATTTTTAATTAAGAAGAACCCTAGGGCAGGTATTAATAGAGTGTAGAAGTAGTTCTACATCTGAATGTGGGTTTGTGTAAAGAGGGCTATAATTTTATTAAATCCCGTTACATTTTATTTCTAGATTTAGCTTTTTCTTCTCTATTAATATTTATTAACTAGTGAAAAGTGGATTAGTACAGCATCATGTTAAAATGGCTAAGTTCTGTGTTCAAATTTGTGAAGGTAAAAAGCATATAATAGCACACAGTACTGTGTTTGTGTTGTTTCGTTCTTTACTTGGCCTACTTTATAATTGAGTATAGATTCTGGAGCCAGAATCCTTGTTCGAATTCTGTCTCTGCTCCTTTCTAGTTATGTGACTAGGGACGGGTTACTTAATTTCTCTGTGCTTCAGTTCCCTGATCTGTTCATATGGGGGGAATAATATATTCTTCATGGGTTATGAGGATTAAATGAGTTAATATGTATAACATGTTTAACATAATGCCTAACACATAGGAAATGCTGTGTGTTTGCTGTTATTATTATATTCGAATTCATAGAAATTTGCATATTCATCAGTATTCAAGTTTATTGTAAAAGATGGATACGTTCACTGGTGATGTAACATTGTGCCACACTTAGAAACGTAGTTATGTGTTTCTTCATTACGTTTTTAGCCTACACTATTTACAGATGACGCTACAGGAATGAAAAATGCCAGTAAAAAGGTTGTTGTTTCTAAAAGCAGTATTCCAAAATGACATTTGTCTGCTTTTCAGATTCGTTTGCTGACTTGGGCAAAATAAGATGCTGTACGGATCAGCTGTCTTTCCTCCTCTTTTTAGTTTAAGTGAGAGAAAAATGAGTGGGCCCGAGTAATGTATATTAACTATATATTACCTTGGTTTTGAATATTGCTATTTTTAATACTTTTTTTTTTTTTAGAAGGAACAATTGTCTTATTTCTTTCAGACCTCTAATCTCTGAGATTTCAGATTATCAGCGGAAACTAGCTGATTAGATTGGTGTGTAATACACCTAGCCCTGAATCTCAACGTCAGTAAATAGCCTGTATTGAATGTCAGGTCGTCAGCATATTTGTCTATTAAATAACTTATCAATTTCTATGAAAAGCTTACACATACCATAAACTCCTTAATGGACTTGCTGACAGCTTCGGTCGTCCGGGAGTAGAGTGTTACTGCCAGCATGAGAGTGGGGCTGCAGTCATCCAGCTTGAGTTCCTGATTAATGAGGTTAGTGAATCGCTTCAGTCTCTCCTACTTACGTGTGGAATAGGCCCACATCTTGTCTTTCAGATTTCTTGCATGCATTCGTATTTAAATATTTGAACAAAAACGAATCTCACATCAAAGATAATAATAATTCACTTTAGGGCATCATCATGGACAGTTACATAAATAACATATGATGTTTCTCAAAACAGTGTTACAAATGGGATGGTATGAGGTAAATCTTTTTGGTACAAGGTGCTGCATTTACATTTGTTTCAGGGATGTTGAAAGTTAAGTAACGTATAAAAAGCTACATTAAAAATTTTTTTAAAGATTGAGCTTATTATAATAACAAAATATACTTCTCTAATGAGCTGTTTTGAAATACAACCAGAAAACTAAAATCCATTGGAAGGCGGTTAGTGTTCAGAGTTCTTGTGTCCCTTATTGGTTGAAGTAATTGATGATACCTTCCTTTTTGATAAAGTATGGAAGGAGCTGGGGAAAACAACATTTTATTAGCAGAGGAAACAATGTGTTCACAGGTTTAAAAAAAAGTAGGAGCTCTGAGAATAGATGTTTACTGCAAGTGGTGACAGCGGGAAAAGCTGGTCACAGAAGGGAGAAAGAAACTCCTCCAGAAAAGGCTCTGCTGCTATACTTAGATGTAGGGGAGTTTGTGGACATTCTTTTTGCCCCTAAGTCCTTGGGATTCATGGAATAAATTCTTAAATGTATATGAGAGAAAAAATACTTGATACCTCTGGCTTTTGATAAAAGCTTTGTTCATATCAGAGGGTTTAAGAGAGGCATCATGGGTGTAAAGGGTTAACGATGATAATATAAAAAATTCAGTAAAACTGTGATCCAAATAATATGTAATGGTGTAGGTTTTTCAGGATCAGAGAAAGTGTTTTTTTAAAAAAATTTCTGTGTAGGGCCGGCCCCGTGGCTTAGCAGTTAAGTGTGCGCGCTCTGCCGCTGGCCGCCCGGGTTCGGATCCCGGGCGCGCACCGACGCACCGCTTATCCGGCCATGCTGAGGCCACGTCCCACATACAGCAACTAGAAGGATGTGCAGCTGTGACATACAACTATCTAATGGGGCTTTGGGGGGGAAAAATAAATAAAATTATAAAAAATTTCTGTGTAGAACTGTGTATTTTGTGTAGAACTGTGTATTAAGCATTGTAAAGTGTTAAAATACACACAAAAAATGACAATATAGAAAGTTGTTGAACCCACGTGCGAGGACTCAGATTCTTTTTCCTGTTTTTAAAAATTTTTTATTATGAAATAGACTCACAGTAGGTTTAAAAATAGTTAGGTCCTGTGTACCCTTCCCCCAGTAGCAACATTTTGTATAACAATAATACAATGTCAAACCCGGAGAATGACATCAGTATAGTATTGTATACTATTTTAACTAGGCTGCAGATGTTATTTAGATTATCCAGTTTCTACATGCACTCATTTTGTGTGTGTGTGTGTGTGTGTATGTAGTATTCTGCCATTTTATCACATCTATAGATTCGTGTAATGACCACTACGAACGATACAGATCAGTTCCATCACCTAAAGAAATTCCTTCGGGCTCCCCCTTTATAATTACAGCCCCTCCTGCTCTCTGTCCCTAATCCCTGGCAGCCACTAACCTACTCTCCGTCTCTATACTTGTGCTAAAGATTATTTTTTCAAAGTGGTACATGAGCCGATGTAAATGACATATTGCAAATTGATTACCGATACACCTAAATTTTAAAAATCTTAAGTAATTTATGCTGCTGTTATTCATATTACAGGATTTTTTTTCCTCTTCAATAGGAGTCTTCCATGGAGTTCTTTGATATGACTATTTTGTTTTACATGCTTAAACGTGACATTTTAAGTCCTTTAAAGTGGTGTTGCTGTTTTAAAAAAGTGCTTAGCAGAATATGAATATTGAAGTGGGGATGGCTACAGAGATCTGACAATTGGGGGTAGCTATTTGCTTTCACTTTGGGGAAACCTCACGTAGGTAAAGAAGCCAGCATCGGAGGAGGTCAGCTGTTATTGCCGTTTTGGCTCTACGTCTGCTCTTCTTGAGATTTTAAGACAGGGCAAACATGTTGAGAAAGAAGATGGCCTGGTCTGAAACCACGATGGAAATAAGAATGAAGAGTACACATCTTTGATGCTCTGAATCCTTTGAGTTTCTCTGCTTTAAAGTGAGACAGATAAGAGGCAAATTTTAGTGAAAGAGAGAGTGTGTGGACTTTATGTAGGAGTTACGCAGTGGAGAAACAGAATTTTGAAGGTGGAAAGGACTTCGAGAGAACATTTAATGTGAATTTTGTCTTCAGTGCTGTTTGAATTCTGGGATAAATGAGAAACTCTTATTTTAAAAGAAGGAGATTTTAAGATTTCTCATAGTAACCTCAAGGATTGGAATTGCAAATCTGTTTTGAAATTAACATAAATTCTTCATGTTGCATCCTTTGTCTTATTCTCTCAGTGTAGATGAAGGATATCTCACTCCTTTGAGGAAGAACATTCATATATCTTAATAAATCAGCCTTAGTCTAGAGATTCTTAATCCGGTCATACATCAGAATCGCCTCTGGATATTTAAAAAAATACACCTACATGAGTCCTTGCTCTGAAGATTCTGATTTTTTTGGGGTGAGACCAAGTCCCCTGGGTGATTCTCACACACTGCCAGACATTTTCATCTCCATACTTGGTGGTATTTAATAGTATCAGAGGTTTTAACTTTCTAGATTAGTCGTATCTTTCAACCCTTTGGACATTGAAGTTACGGAGTGCTGAATGCTATCTTTATTTTGCATGTCATTCTAGTAGTAGAATTAGGATGTGGGCATAATACATTCATAAGGATTTGTCTTAAGCCAAATAAAATGGAAAGGTTTCTTAGTATCATATTTTGCTCTTTCAGTCAAGGAAGTATGTACAGTACTGACCAAGCAACTTACAGTCTCACCTCTAATTTTATATAACTAGTTATCAGCTGTAATATCCAACTAGATCTTAATATATTTGTAGTTTATTAGTTATTAAATTAGACTTTAAATTATTGAAGAAGTTAAAACATTTTTTACACATACATATACAAATAATACACTCTCTTACATCTGTTTAGACTTTGGGTGAGGCAAATGTTTCTCAAAACTAAATTTATTGGCAGAAAGTTCTGAAATTTGGGAAGGACAGTTTTTGGAGCTGTTTAGTAGCTTTAATGTTTATAAAATGTATTCTGTATAAAGTATATTACACTTTATTTTTAAGGGAGCTCTTGTGAGTGCCTTGGCTGACGACACCTTACATTTATGGAATTTACGTCAAAAGAGACCTGCCATATTACATTCACTTAAATTTTGCAGAGAAAGGTAAGAATTCTCAGTTATCCTATCTACAGGATATTTGCTATTCTATTTTGAAACATTTTCTTTGAATTGTGTTCTTTGATTTTATTTTTTGTGATAGACTTTATGCGTAGTCTAAAAAATAATTCAACACTTCAAAGGTTATGCAGAAAAAGCAAGTTTCCTTCGTTTCCAGACCCATTTTCCTCTACAGAGGCAACTACATAAATTTCTTCTGTGTCCTTCTGGAAATAATTGCAGTCTGTGTATATAAGCAAAAATCTCTATATAGCTCCTTTTTTTCGCATAAAAGGGAAGGCATTATGTATTGTTACTGTACTCGTGTTCACTTAACCGTGTATCTGATAAATTGTTTCATATTGGCACATTTAAATCTTCCTTAGTCATTTTCATAACTGCATGATACTCCATTGCATGGAAGTTCCATAATTTATTCAGTTAGTCTTCAGCAATGCACATTTATATCATTTTCAGTCTGCTCCTCATTTTGCTCTGTTGTGATATTATGTTACACATATGTCTTTGCCCACTTATACATGTTTATCTGTAAATTAAATTTGTGCAAGTGGAACAGCTTGGTCACAGAAATCTGTTCTATGACTTGTGAATTTTGTGCTTTGATTGGAGAGACCGTTTTTGACCCCAGTCTTATTTAATGTTCTCCCATTTTTTTATAGTACTCTCCAAGTTGCATTTTTTTTATGCTTAATCTTTGATTCATATGGAACTTGTTTTGGCATGAAATATGAGTAAGGAGTATAGTCCCTTCTCCCCCCCATTGCTTGTGAGACATATTTTGTATTTGTATATGTAAATATATATGTATATGTGTGTGTGTGTGTATATACATTATATATATGTGTATATGTGTCGAGGTTAAGGAATCTGGGTCTAGATAGCATCTAAATGCAGTGGAGCTAGTGTCTACAGGACATGGGAAGGCGGGCAGCAGACTGCCTCATCCATGTCCAAGGATCAGGCTGTGTTCCTGCTTTGGTAAGTGTCAGTCTGTTCAGGTGATATACACAGGTCGGTCTGTGTGTGAGTCTGGGCTTCTGCCCACAGTGGCCCTCCAAGTATGCAAGCTAGAGAGGCTGCTGGGAATATAGCTGTTCAGACTTATCCAGCCAACACTAGGGCATGTCTGCGTTGTATGGGGGACAGAGACCAGAGCTGGCAGGGGGTCAGGAACAAAGTTTGCTCCTGGGCTACATCTTGTCTGGGAAAATAAACCCTCTAAGTGGCTTTAGTTGAATCACGGTTCTACTTCTAAGAGAGGGGCAGAGGTGAAGGAGGAGTTAATGGAAGGAAGAAGGGGTGAGATAGGGGAAGAAGAGCAAGCAACAAGTCGAGGTTCAGTTCTTTTGTACGTGCTGGGAATGGGGCCAGCCCCTCAACTTGCTGGGCAGAGTTCCTCAGTCTGGTTGGCAGTGGCATCTCAGCGGGAGCCTACATCAGCCTCATTGCCATAGAGCAGCTGGAGGTAGCGATGGGCACCTTCGTACCAGTACACATCCTCTTGGTGTCAGTCTCACACCACCTGCTGGAACTGTAAGTGTAGGTCTAGCTGAGTAGTTGTGAACCTGGAGCGAGTTTATCCCCTATAAGGCATCTGACAATGTCTGGAGACATTTTTTGTTCTCATACTTGGGGGAGGAGGGTGAGCAGTGCTCCCAGCATCTAGTGGGTAAAGGCCAGGGATGCTGCCCAGTGTGTTACAAGGCACAAGATGGTCCCCTGTAACGAAAAATTATCTGGTCCAGAATATCAGTAGTGTCAAAGTTAAGAAACCCTGGACCGTAGCACATCTAAATGATTTTATTTGGTCAGTGTAGTGCTGTAAGTTCTCTTAAACCACCGCCCCCTGCAGGGGTTCTGCCAGGGTGTAGGGTTCCAGCAGAAGGTGCCTCTAGACCTTGTTTGCCACTGGCTGTTCATGTTCCTCACTGGGACGAGGAATGTGGCAGTATGTGGTCCAAGTTCACACACAGACACTGCAGGTTATCACGGTAAATCTTCGTGGAGAAAGGATCAAACCTCAGAGAATCCTGGAGTCAGGGGTTGATGATAATCAGGTTTGGAGTAAGTCTCGTCTATAGTACTTCTAATGATAGTCTCCAAGAAATTCTGGTAAAGGTGGATGCGGAACAGTAAGCTAGTCTAGAAGGTGCCTGTAGGCACATATCTTGACAAACAGAAGGTGCCTTTGTTTGTGTGAAGTACAAGTCAAGTAGCCCTTCTTGGTGGATGCAGTCTTGCAGAGTCCACCCCTCCCCTCTTTGGTTGGGTGCTGTTATGCAGAGCACAACCTGCACGATTGTACGCAGTGGTCCTACAAGTTACAAGTGAAGTGAACTGATGGAGTTCCTAGTTTTGAGTTCTGTCCTATCCCCGTTTATTCTATAGAAAATAGCAGAATGCTTGTTATGTGCCAGCTTAATGCTGGCCGCTGAGCATGCGTTTGTAAACAAGACCCAGCTGACCGGCAGAAGGTCCCTGGGCCCGTTCCCAGTTCAGCTTCCCTGGGGCCTTCCTTAGGCAACAGTGAAAAAGGAGCTGTAGCCTGAGGCCTGGTCCTTGAGTATCTCCTGTGGGTGAGGTCCTCTCGGATGGCTACAAACCTGGATGGCCGCTGTCGGACTTAAATGCCAAGGAATAGGCCTGGTGCCTCGTGGATGAACTTTGTTACATTCTCTCCAGACTAAAGGTCAGATTTCCTCAAATGGCAGGAAGGAGGGAGGTGGCATGTGGGAGGAGCCTAGTTTTCCTGAGCGCCTGGCTACAGGCTTGGGGGGGGAATGGAGTGGAGGCTGTCCCCCAGCTCTGGGGACAAGGTGCCAAGGCTTGTTCTGCCTCTCAGCCTGAGCTGTCGTTCAGGACTTTCAATATGCCCTGTAGTCTATAGCCTGATGGAAGTCTTCTGTTGGAGCAGCCCCCCAGGTAGGGGAAGGGGCAGAATCCTATCATTCCCTGCCTGTTCACCCATCTCCCTCATTTGTAGGAATCCATCCGTTTCTTTATACAACCGCTCTACATTCAGTGTTTGTGTCACTGTCAGTCAGGATAGTCTGAGTTACACTGTGGTAACAAACACTCTCAGAATCTTAATGACTTAGTACAGCAACAGTTCATTTTGCTAACACTGTATGTCCTTTGTGGGTTTGCTGGAGCCGTTCCTTTTCATTATCATCTGTATTCCAGAATCCTGGCTGAGGAGCAGCCAGTCTGTACAGTATGGCCAGGCTCTGCAGGAGAGGGAGAAAGAGAATGGGTGGAGCACGGAGTGGCTCTTAAAGCTTCTGCCTGGAAGTGAGCCATCTCTCTTCCACGCTCATTTCATGGGCCAGAGCAAGTCACAAGGCCATGCCTAATTTCAACCATGTCAGCAGGAGAAGGGAAGGCTGGAGTGTCTGTGAATACTTGTAATCCTACCTCTGCTGCTTGCTCCTTGTTTTTATTGTCGACACTGAAGTACAAGCAGCAGTAGCCTGGTTAGTGTCCCCTCATTCCTCAGTGGATTTGGACTAACTTAATAGTTCAATTACTCTGTTTCATTTTTATGCTGTGTGCATCTGTATTTCTGAAACCAGGAAAGGTAGGAAAAATATAAAAATTTTATAAAGGGCTGTTTCATTACATTCTGAACAATTGTTAAACAATTTCAACTTGTTTTATTGCCTTATTTTCATAAGTGGTTAAATTTTCTTATTTTGGTAGAAATTAATATAAATATAGTAGAAATTATATGTAGTGATTTAAATTGTATTTTTTCATAATGTGGATTTTTTTTTAGCTTTCATTTTTTTTAAATTGTGCTGAAGTACACATAACATATAATTTACTGTCTTAACCATTTTTAAGTGTGAAGTTCCGTAGTGTTAAGTACTTTCACATTGTGTGCAACCACATAATGTAGATATTTTGATATGATTTCACTTTTATGGTGTTTACCATAAAATACCATTTAGGTATTTTGCCTCAATTACCTCTTTAAAGGTCTTGTCTCCAAATACAGTTACATTCTGAGGTATTGGGGTTAGGACTTCAACATCTGAATTTGGGAGGGGGACACAGTTCAGTCCCCAACAGGGAAGGAGGTTAAAACCAACCAGGATACAATACAAGACAGAAATTTAAAAAAAAATCACCAAACAGAAGAAAAAGTACACTTACTTTGAAAGTTGAAGAAACAAGGTTTTAAATATCTTCCTTGAATAGCATGTAGCTTATTGTGCCAGTTGCCAGGTTCATTGCCAGGTTAGCGATTCATCTGGTATACAGTTTGTACCCTAGAAACAGACTTGCCAGTGATAGTAGCTACAGCATCTAAATCCCCTGCTCCCTGAGGGGGTTGGTAGTCACAGTATGTCATAGTGGAGAACTCAGAGCTGTGGCCTTTCCTGCCCCATCCCATGTTACGGATTGCATTGTGTCCCCCAAGATATGTTGAAGATATGTTGAAGTCCTCACCCCCAGTACCTGTGAAGATAACCCTATTTGGAAATAAGATCTTTGCAGATATAATCAAGTTAATATGAGGTTAAGGTGGGCCTTAATCTAACATGACTGGAGTCCTTATAAGAGGAGAAGAGGCACAGACACCCAGGGAGAACGCTGTGAGATGACGGAGGTAGAGACTGGAGTGATGCGTCTACAAGCCAGGGATAGCTGGCAATACCAGAAGTCAGGAGAGAGGCATAGAGGACATTTTCCCCTGGAGCCTTCAGAGAGAGCAAGGCCCTGCTGACACCTTGATTTCTGATGGCTAGCCTCTAGAATGGTGAGAGAATAGATTTCTTTTGTTTTAAGCCATCTAGTTTGTGGTAATTTGTTATGGCAGCCCTGGAAAACTAATGTATACCCCTCTCTTCCTCTTGTTTGATATTGGTGAACCTCGGTATTATGCGCTGTTGGGTTGATACGTGTAAGGGAGGGGTTTTTTGTCTGTAGAAACTGAGAATTTGACAAGTCAAAATTCAGATAAGGGGGTTGCCTTATCAGAG